TGATTTTGGGTTCCATACCAGAGTTCTAGAGCCACTACCAGTGTTCTATAGTTGTGCCTATCGTCTGCTGATAACTGTCCAAGTATTTCCAGTGGGTTGTCCCTTTAAGCTCGTTGCCAGATATACTGCTTTCTGCTCCTCTGTCCATCCATTTATTTCTGCCAGTAGCTCAAATTGTACTCTATATGCTTCCCACGGTGCCTTCCCATCGAATTCCTGTAGCTTACTTCGTACTGGATCACCCTATTGCTAACATTCATATCTGGGATGTGACTTCTAACAGGACTGAAGATGTCTGCATTAGGGTTTAGCTGCGGGGTCTGGAAGGGGCTTCCCATTGTCTGGGGCTGGTTAAGTCGATGGTTAATGTATCCTCCTTGTGTAAAAGACAGTAAATCATCCTTTAATGCAATTAATTCGCTTTGAAATTTACTAATTGTTTTCCGTTTGTACTTCTTGTTTCCTTTCTTGTTCCAGTTGCCACTGCTGTAGTATCTCTTCTTGTTTATGTTCTTTCTCCTACAATAGCTGTTGTAATCTCTCTTCTTGTTTCTTTTCTTTTTCCTCCAACAACTGCTGTAATCTCTCGTCCTGTTTATTTTGCTGTTCGAGCTGCCATTGTTGCAGGTTTTTTTGCAACTGCTGTTGTCTCTCTTCTTGTTTCTTTTATTTTTCTTCCAACAGCTGCTGTAGTCTCTCTTATTTATTTTGCTGTTCGAGCTGCCACTGTTGCAGATTTTCTGCTGTTTTCTCTCTTCTTGTTTCTTTTGTTCTTGTATTGCTGCCATCAAATCTACCACAGAAAAGTGATGTGCAGACGTAACATGCGGTTTCTATCTTCTTGTTTAGTATTTATTCAATTAGTCAGTTATTCTAGGTAGGTGCAGTTTCACATAACAAATGGCCAAAACGTTGATAAGTTATTTTCATTCTAGCTATCTTTGTTCTTTATTATTGTCTTGAGTTAACACGTGGTCTATCAATGGGCATATGGCTGTACAATTTCACTATGAGTGTATATGAAAGTAGACAGCAGTTTTCTCCACTAGTCCCTCAGGTGATACCTCGAAGCTATATAGACACCTTTGTGTTTCAATGGGATTAACCAATAGTGACATAAGTGGTACTTGCATCCTGAAAATATAGCGTTACAGAATTTCGTATATAATACTTTGTTCTCTGAAGTTCAAGCCTTCAGCTTAGTAAGTTTATTGTAACTTATCTTTCTAAAGACTGACCTTTAATGTTAACTCATTCTTGATAAACTCTTACTTAGATAAGTTCAGAGATATAACATTTTTAGAATTGCTTTTTGATGTATGAGGTCATCAAGAAATTAATGTCGTTTTTTTTATGAAAACCCAAACAACTTATATATCAAAATAAAACATTGATTAAATGAAATAGTCTCCATTTTTATCTATGATGTTTTTCCATCTTACAATCAGGTTGTTAATGCCCTGATTAAAGAAATCAATTGGCTTTGAAGCAAAAACTTTTGCATACATTTTCCCATTAAGATGGTGTTGCAGTGAACGAAAAAGATGGTAATCTGATGGTGCCATATCTGGAGAATATGGTGGGTGGGGGAGAACTTCCCAACTCAACTCCATAATCTTGTGTTGCATCAAAAGTGCCACATGTGGAAGTGCATTGTTGTGGAGAAGAAGAACGCCTTTCCGATTGACTAGTGAAGGGCGTTTCTGATAAAGGGCTTGATTTAAATGTTCCAGTTGCTGACTATAGATCTCTGCATTGGATTGAGGAGTTCAAAATGAATTATTCCTTTGATGTCCCCCCAAATGCAAAGCATCACTTTCGGCGGATGAAGTCCAGGTTTTTGGGTCAGAAGTGGTTTTTGTCTAGGATTGAGCCATTGTTTTAGGCATTTAATATTCAAATAGAGAATACATTTTTCATCACCAGTGACAATTCTATCCAAAAATGGTTCACACGCATTATGCACCAGAAGAGACAAAGCAACGTTCACACGTTGGAAACGATGATCATCGGAGAGTTCGTGAGGCACCCAAACACTTTCTTTATGGAGTTTCCCATATTCCTTAGACGTTTACGTCATTTTTCCTGAGAGACATGCAATTTCAGCGCCGTTTCACGAGTGTGTTGCCTTGGGTTAGACTCAATAAGCGTCTTCAGAGGATCAATATCAGTTCCAACATGTCGGTCCCTGCCATCACAGGTTTTAAGGCTAAGGTCACCTAAACGAAATTTGCTGAACCATCGTTGAAACTTACGAACGTTCAAAGCATTTCTATAAACTTCTTTGATATTCTTTGTGCCTACAGTGGCGTTGTTTCACTTCTTGTATTCAAACAGCATTACATGCCGAATGTGTGTCTTGTCGTGTGCCATCACTATAAGGGATTAAAATATACTAAACTTTACACATCATATAGGCTACACTAACGTGACGTTTAGGCGGTTCATTTAACTATTATACGTAATGTACGTTTTTAGAAGTGGTTAATGAAAGTGTTCCAAAACGCGACATTAATATCTTGACGACCTAATATTTCTTGGGAGAAGTTACTATTGCCTAATAGTAACACAGAGTAGATAGCAAGGAAAACATATTGGTGCTGTGAACTAAGGATATTCTTTTGTAGGGTTTTCTGTTTTTTGCTGAACATGTATTGCCCTTTACTCTTACTTTTGTGTTTCAGTTTAAAGGCTTCATGGTTGAGGAAATATGATTTGTTACAACTCAAAAGACTTATGACCAAAGGAAGAGTCAGTCACTGAAGGGAGACGGTTGTCTGAGAGAGTTGTTGGGTTTAGGTGAAGTCCTCTCCTGGACAAAAGTCAATGATGCAAAGGTCTATGACTTCTTTTTCATTTCTGCTGCAGACACAAGAAAGAGAACTGCTAGAGTATGGTGCATCTAGAATGGCTGATTGAAATATCCCATGAGGGCCTACCTCACTGCAAGGGAAGCATGGACAACTGAGGGTCGTCAAGGTGGTGTGGTATCTGGTGAGTTTGAGATAGAGAAAGGTGTTCTGTACAGAATTCCCAGATCTTTACCAGTCAGATTAACCCAACCTTAGCTCTGGTTGAAACCAATCAAGACTAGTCAAGAGAGACTGGGGTACAGCTGGAAGATGAAGTTTACTAACATGAGCAATCTTACCAAAAGATAAGAAGTTGGACTATAAATAATTAAGGTGGTGAAACATGGGGCAATCGTGATTCTGTATGAGCTGGAAGACATCATGGATCATGTAGAGGCATGGGGTCGTTCATTGCTCTGCTGCCATAGACCAACTACTCACCCAGGGGTCACAATCCCTGAGCATGCCACACTGCATTTCCGATGTCGAGCACATCTCAACCTGGTGTTGATCGAGAATCCACAAGAAAGGTTTATGCACACTCATAGTCCTATGTCAATGAGACTAAATAGCTGTATCTCCCATTGTTAAGGGTACAGCAAAGGAAGGTCTAGATCCTTTCCTTAAACAGTTTCAGACAGTTGTTTGGAATAAATGAATTCAGGAACCGGCAGTGTACTACCTGATGCTAATATTTATGGTTCAATGCTTCACTCAATTAGGTGAGAGTATTGTGTGGCTATTAGTGACAAGATAGATGAAGTAGTGCAAAATGTAAAGGCCAGAGACAGCTCTTATAGTCGTCTGAGCTAATGACAATGGCCTATTGTCAGTGTTTTAGCCAGGTACAAAATGTTAGATGGATGGGAAGAACGTACATAAACTCTTAGAGACAAGTTAGAAGGAGCCAAAAAACTATTTATGACATATTAGCATGCAGAAATCATTATGTAGTCTCTGACTGGGTGGTACCTTAGTTGTTGAAAAGATGGGCTGTGTCCACGTTACTGGTTCCTGATCTATGCACGTAGGATTAACTGATTACATCAACTAAGATGGTCATGTGGTTGAAGAATCAAATAAACAGGAATATTATAAAGTAAGATGTATACACTACATTGTAGTTACGACTTAATCATTACTCAACTACGAGAGTCATTTCGTTGAAAAAATCAATGACTGAAAGTAAGTGGGGATCCTCACTTTCCAAGCTCTCAAACGATGTTCACGTTATGATTTGTGCACTACATTGAGCAATTTCAAATTGATTATCACAAATCTAAGTTGTCTAATGCCAAAAGATTTAATACCTAGTGCATCAACAGTCTGTACATCTCATGATAATATCTCAGAGTTCGAAAATTCAGCTGAAAGAGTATTGTATAAAAAGCACACCTCATTTTTTTTTGATACGATACCTATTGTTAGTTGTCATTCATCTAGAGTAGCACGTTTTGTATTGCTATGGTAAATCGAGTTGCAAGGTCCCTTGTAGTGTGTGAAATTAGTGCAGTTAGTTATATTTTCACTGGAAATCATACAATCTCCTTAAATAAGGCCTTCTTCTATGTTTTATTGAAATGACAAGTTAAGTGGATAGTGATGGTTTGTTTGTGAAAGTCTGATGTTAATGAGTTAACTAAGTAACATGGGATATATTCAGTTTGGAATAGAATCTTAACATATTTACTCTGACATATCTCTCATGAATAAGCTAAAACAATTTCAAACCTAAAATGAATAGTGGAGTCATGGTGACAAAACTGCCAAGCCCAGGTTGCAGAGTAGATGGAGGTCTGGTGGATCTCAGTCACAACAAAGAAGAAATCATGATGAACAACAACCAGTTGAAACAAAAAGTAGGTCACCCCAAGAGGGGCGTTCAGGGAATTAGATAGGTCTTTTGGAAAAATCATCAGCAAAAGTCGTCAATCTGTAGAGGACTGTGATAATATTTGCGTTTGTTTAGGGGTGCATTGTAAATTTTGTATAAAATGAATGTGTCTTACCAACCTCAATTATACTTGTTTTGAGGGGCTGTACAGATGTGGTATTCAGATGTCTGACATACAAGTTCAAGTATTCACAATATAGAGATTCGGAAAATGTTATGTAGTATATTAAAATTAATACGGACACCAAAGGAAAGCAAATAAACTAAATTTTTATTCACAATGTATTTCACATATTTCGAACCTCTTAAGTTCGACTGGGCTCAAAGTGGTTGCTGGTGTAGAAAGAAGGCTCTTTAAACATGTTCATACCTGACAAGTTAAAAAGAATTAGTAACCGCACTTTCAAATCAGGGTTCTTGTACAGTATCAGATAATTCTTAGATTAGCTCAGGGGTCTCCAAACCTTTTTGGGCAAGGGCCGGGAGGTAGATCTTTTTAGGCTTCACAGGCCAGAGGGGTCGTGGTAAAATTAAGTAGGGATACATAGTTGATCAGATTGACTTTTGCTCAATTACATTTTATTTTTATAATATTAAAAAATTATATTATTACTTTAATAAACTGTTGGTGGGCCAGATAAACCAAAGTCGCGGGCCTAATGTGGCCCACTGACCGTAGTTTGAAGACACCTGGATTAGCTCATCAATGATTACTCCAAAAAACAGATACATGAGCGATAACTTCCTACCTACACCGACATCCACATTACTTGTAGTGGTGTCTGTCAAGTGCTTTTGGTTTTACATTCTTGAGTATATCTACATATCATATGGCTACACAAAATTCATGATGTTAGGAAAATATGTAGTTTCAAAAATTATAATTTAACAAAAATACAAAACCCCATAAAGTGCTCGGGTTATAGGGTTTTGTATTTTTATGGCTACATAGAAAATTTTGCACACTACATAAAACATACACTATGAATCATATGCAAGAAAATCCCAAGTGAGACATAAAATCAAACTCAAACAAAAGTGAAAGGAAACAGTTTGATCTGGTACCTTACAATCTTCTCCATGACAATAAATATAGCTTGTCTTATATTTTTCTATGTTTTTATTTGAGAAAAAAACAATTTGTTTCATTTCAATCGCTAACTGAAACAGTCATACAGGTAGTTCCAAAACATTTTTATTAACATCTATGTTTTATAATATAAAAATATAAAAACTGTTTTACTTTCTCATTCAGTCCATACAAAACATGATCAAAGGTAATTTTCAATGGGTAAATCATGTACAAGTTTTAGAAATGAAATCTTAGTTTATTTTCAACAAAATTAAACAAATTTGATTACATTACAGAACAATAAACCTTGAGAGAGATTTACAAAAATTACTTGAGCTTTGTTACATTAGAATAGCTTAAAAGAAACTTTGCACTGTTATTATACCTTATACCTGTTTCTGAAACTTTTTCTTTATGTACATATAAAATATTCTATTAAAAAATTCAAAGTTAATTATACATGCACCCATATACTTGTTAAATTAAATATATAAGGACAAAAATGTTAATGTTTCTTATAACACTTAATACATTTGTACCAATTATGTCTAATCATCTATAGCTTCAAGACTGAACACAAACTCATATACTTATAGGACTTCGAATATGGCTCAAAGATGTAAAACTGAATAAATTGATTTCCTCTAACACACAATAAATTATATCCTGTGATGTAAATCTTTTATTGTTCAGAATAACAAAAATAAGAATGTTTTTACAGTTACATAAATTTGTAAGATATTTTAATATAACTTCAGAGTAAAGTTGAAGAGAAAAATCCACAAAGTTTTGTTGTAAATGGCAATGATACTGAAGTTACTATCTTTTATCCAAACATGGAAAAAAAAAAAGACATATGTTAATTTATGTAATCTTATGAAACAATAATTTCAATACAAAATTGTATAAAAACTGTAATACAAAAACAGAGTTCCTCATATTATATTTCATTTGCTTTTGATTTAGTTTCTAAGTGTACATGTTCTCACAAGGATGCAATATTTGTCCAAGTTAAAGTACCATGGACGATGTTCATATTTTTCTCTTCATCACACAGTTTAATAAAATTGCTGTACTTGGTGATAAAAACAAACACTCTTGGTCTAATGTTTATATGAACCTAACTTAATTCTTCTTTATTTGAAGATATGTTCCAGTAATTGTGAAGATTCCATGCCACTGGTTCTAGTTTTTAATTCTTGTAAAGACTGTATTATTGATGCTAATTTTTCTGGAGAAAGGATGTAAAACCATGAATGGACGAAGCTTTAGATAGATAGATCAAGAGAATGAACATTGTTTAAATTATTGATGTTAATCTTCCTGAAGAGGAGAGAGGATGAAAGACCATGAATTCACAAAGTGTTACATAAACAGATCAAGAAAGAGAGAAAAACTGTACTACTGATGTTTTCATGGAGAGGAGAGAGGATGAAAAACCATGAATGGATAAAGCCATACAAAAAAAGCTAAAGAATGAAAAAAAAGAGAGTAATACATATTTTTTCTAACAAAAAAAAATTCAATGCTATGATGAAAATGTTGGTGCATAAAAAAAAACCTGGTGTTCTCTAGTTCTTTAAAAATTAATATACTTTATTGGCTCATGATGAAAATTGTGAAAAATATTTAGAATGCAATAATTTTATATTTATGTGTTATTCACTAGACGAAAGTGAATCTTGTAAAAACGTAATCTATAAAATTCAGCATCTTTCAATTGTTATGCAAACTGACAAGCCTTAAATATCAGTTTGAAAGCGTCTCAAGAAGATGCTCACCATTCTCTATGCAACAGCACCTAAACTAGGTGTGTATCTTAAAGTTCTCACTTTGTTGTTCAGACGAAAACTGACAGAATATTTCAAGTTTGTTACTTGCACATTTTCTTTTCATCAAGAGATTTTTGTTAGACTTAAAAAATATTGTGTGAGTTTACTAAACAATATTCTTTCAAAATTGACATATTTCACATTCCTCTTTATACTAAGATACTTAACCACAGCCTTGAAAGTCATTCAAAGTACACAGCATTATGAAACCATGATATCACACATCTTCTTTTGAGTCACTAAGAATAACACAGTCACTTTCATCACTACTAGAGATTTCAAACACAAGGGGGCTTGGTGTTCTCAAGTCACGTGGATTTGGTGCTCTTGATTCTTCAATCAGTCTACCACCTGAATTATCTTCAATCATTTGTCCTAGTTCTGTTATTTCTTCTGAGGCATTTGTTAATGAATGAACATTTGTAATTTGTATTTCCATGTCTTCTATCTCATTTTCTTGGACTTGATGGACAAGATTTAGGTCTTCTGTTATAATCATTTGAAGATTTTCATTATCTACTTCTGTAACTTGCCGAGTTTCATTTCTAGGTTGGATGGTGTTGATCTCTTGTGGATTAATTATTAGTTGAACGTCACTTGTATGATAGTTTGCTACATGGCCTAAAGGACTCTTCTGACTTGTTGATCTATCTGTAATTCCTGTATCCATTTTGTTTGTTATTGTTACTTGCTCACTAACATTTTCTGAATGAATAGTACTAACCTCTTGTGGTCTCATGACCAACTGCTGTTTATCATAAGCTGTACTTACATGACTGTTTTTTTCAGGAACTTTTGTCTTGCTTGCAGTAAGTGGAAAATTAGTAGGCATGCTTTGAGGACTTGATACGTAACAACAATCAATTCTGTCATTATCACCTGATGCAAAACCTGCACCTGAAATATGGTCTACTGCTGCATCTTTGAAAGAGCATTCTAAATTTGAAGATTTATTCACAACTGATGAAAGCTCCTTATGAGGAGAAGAGCATTCTTGTATTCTGATGTTATGATTTATATTCAACTCTACTGCCTCACAATTACTTTGGATGTTGTTGGACAGAGCATACATGGCATTAGCTTTTTTATCTACATTTTGCTTTCTACTGTGCCTAGACAAAAAACTTTTACGTGCTGTTTGCTTTGATCTGAGGTACATTTTATTTCTGGAGGGTGAAGATACTTTATGCGGTACTTCTTGGTCACACGTTGAATCTTGAAATTTACTTGGTTTATGACAAGTTGAATCTTGACAGTGTTCCTCATTCTTTAAAGAATGGAACTTGTTAGGTTGATTTTCATTATTTGAAAATGCAAATTCTCTAGATGGCACAGCACAACTAACTTGGAGTTTCTCCTGACTGATGTCAAATGAATCATTAAGAAGTTGCTCCAAAGTTACTACTGACAGCTGTTCTTGTGCTTGCTTTTTACATGATGAAGGAACTGAAAGATTACGAAACCCCAATTTAACTGGAGGTAAGTCATCACCTCGTTTCATGAATACTTCCAAACGATACATGTCAGGGTTTATTCCACGGCTGACCTGAAAAAAAACAGGGGGATCAGAGTCTAAACTTATGCTACTAAAGTCCTTTTTTGTGTTGTGAAATTTCTGAAGGCTGTCACTCTTACCTAAAAACATGTTTGGTGAATTTTTCCTAAGTGTTTCATGCTGATTATGTTTATCACTATCTATAACTTGGTTACTGACCTGAAGAATTTCAGACTTTCTTTCTTCAGGTAAGAGTGAAACACTTTTAGTTACTTCTGTATCATTCCCATGGTAACTATGAAGAAGTCCTTCCAAGGACATTGATTTTAATTTATGCATGTTCATTTTTTCTTCTCTTCTAAGAAAGCCAAATGGTGTTGTTTGTTCCTTTATTTTGTCCCTGGATAATTTTACTTCAGTTGAATCTTTCTCTAGTAAAATAGTTTTTTCCGATTTTCTTTTTTTCTTCTCTGATGACACAGATCTACTGGTATTGACAGCTTCTGAAGAGCTATCTTCCTCTCTTACATCCTCAAACTTTCTGTTATCATCATGTATTTTGGTGGGTGTGGTAACAGACTGTCTTTCCTTCACTGAAGTAGAATAATTAAGAAGTAAGCCATTTAAGAAAAATATTTACTCAAATTAATAAGAACATATCACTACAAAGAAATACAAGTTATGAAGCTCTTTGACATATGTTCCTAACTTCATACTAAGGCCTGAAGAAGGTGTTGCCATGAAGTTAGAACCTTTATCTGGGCAGTACTGTCCATATATAGTTCACTGCCTAAAAGTTTCTTTTATAAGTTCACTACTTCAAGTTCTCATTTAATATCCTATCCAAAAATACTGAAAATTTTTATTGACTTTCAGTTACTATAAAGTTAAATTACAAGATGTCACATGACTGACGAAGCCTTTAAAAAAGTTTGTATACCAAAGAGCAAAATAACCAGACTTAAATTAGTCTCGAACTATTAGTATTATGAAACTGTAGTGAGCCTTACACAGTATGTTTCTAAAGTTAAAGTTAGAATTAGCAAAAAATGATCTATGAACATGACATTTTGTAGCATGGGAAATCTTACCGATGAGGGATATAAAAAAATAACACACCCACACATAAAGAGATTGTATATACTTGAATATCAATTTAAATGCTAACTATTATTTAAAATAGTAAATACTAGTCACTTAAAAAACAGTGGTGGGCATGACTTTTGTTTTGCTTTACATTTTCCAGCTGTTCATATTATGTATATATATATATATATATATAGATAGCTCAATGATTATTAATTACAATTATTGTTATTAGACGATTTAGATCAGCACTATTAAACAATAAAGAATTTATAATAATTTAATGCATCTACTTTTGCTTCCATCTTTGGTTTACCTACTCCTCATAGTGTTATTCCTACTGTTTTGTTAAAAGGGATTATTATATCACAACTGAAAAGATTTTTAACAGTCTGCAATAGTAATAACTTTTATGGATAATGTTTCCTTATTCCTAAATAAACTAAAATATAACAGATATAGAGATATATACAAATAAAAATGTTTTTTAAATATTTTCGTAATAAACATAAATTTATTTTAAATAATAAACTTTCAATTATAGAAAACTCATTACCTAGAGGTCGTTAGTTTATCAAGAGTGACCTTGAATAACTAACTTGGTTATGAAACCAGTTTTTTTATTCAGTATGCCAGGACTGGACAGACCAACTACAAGTAAATGGGTCTGCCTCAGCTTTCCCAGGTTATACTGGAATAAGTTTTGACAATTTATAATTTACTTACTTTTTTTTTTCTCAGACATTTATAAGGGTGGTGGTAGGGAGTTCTATATTGTAGAAATTTTGGGTGGTTCTGTTTCTACTTTAAAAACTTAAATAACTTTATGGGTAACTGCCTTCCCACATCTGGCTGCAGACAGTGAAAGGCAGTAGGAGACGAGATGTTGTGGGTTTAAGCACTCATCTCAACACCCTTATTTTGATTTTCCGTGATGGTCAACTTGTTTAACTTCAGTGTTTTGAATTGTGCTTGATAGATGGGATATCTCCAATGCTTTTTTGGGTGCTATTATCACAAGCTTTATCCAGAAAGTAGATGCAGTAAATGAATATATATGGACTGATACAAAGATACTAAGTAAAAACATGAAGCAATAAAATTGACACCATGAGCTAACACTATAAACAAGATGTACTAACTCTCTCACTAGGGACTCCATAGATTCGACCAAGTGTGTGCCATCAAAGTGACTTTCAGTTTCTATACTATTAACTTTTAATGTGCTTCGTATATCTTCACGAAATTTGGCAAGCTTTCAGTACACATTACAAATATTTTGTATGTAAAAAATCATATATTTCAATTAAGTAGTTTTACTAAAAGTTTGTCTGTGTATATATGGAGTCAGTGTTGACTGCTCTTGGTGCACAGTGATTCTCATGTTAAGATTAAAATACTTTTATTTATGTGAAAATTGGGAATTTCAGTTTGGTAATCTCTAAAACCTCCTAAATAAATATTAAAATGTTTTTTTCAGTAAAAATCTATATTTTGTCTGTTATTTTCTTTAGCCTAATTCTATATCCATTCAGTTAATTTGACTGACTTTGTAACCTCCATAGAAAATACAAAATAAATCTAAGTTACCTTTTTTTTCTTTCTAGTAAACTGTAACATGAAACTACAAGTGTTATACTTAATTTCGTTTCATTGCCTTTGAACTATCTCTAATTACTAAATCCCACCACACAAGTTGTAAATCACTTGGCGATTGTGCAGCTCATGTTATTGTACCAAATTACATATTGCACAAGCTAGTCACAAGCATACCCACTCCATGAAGAATTTATATTATTAATATCTTTTCATTATTTTGTTTAATCTAATCTAATCAGATTCTAATTTTTACACGAGTTACTTTTATAATAATAAATAAAGATACACATGAAAAATAACTGTCTTTTTTTTTTTCTTTCTCTGTTGTCTGTTAATGAACATTTAGCTTACTTTTTTTATAGTAATGGTACAACTACAGTAAATCTTTTATTTAATTAAATAATGCACCTAGGAACACAGAATAACATGCACAAAGCAAACAATGTCATATAACTATTATAACATTTCTGGCTTTCTAACTATGCGATAAGAGCCTTTAAACATTAAGATGAGACTAGCCAATCCGAGTTGGTCGAGATAAGCAATCTGTAAAGTCAATCTTGATTAGTGGAACTACTGAGACAAGTCAATTTCAGTTGTTAGAGATAAACATGAAGCAGTTGTAGCATTTTGAGACATTTTATGCTATTTCCAAATGCTTCAAGAAATGAGAAATATAATTTAATAAAATTCCATGTATGATATATACATACAATATGAATAAAAGTTGGGTGCATCTAATGACTGTAAGGAGTTACACAACGATGCTTGACCAAGAAAGGGAATGAATACATCAAGTATAAGTTAAAAGGCATTCCAGGTGGTACTGAGAAACAACTGTTTACATCATCTATAAACTGATGCCACAGCAGCAGAGAGAAAGCTATGAGAAAGTTTATATTAACTTCATTAGACACTGGACACAACTTCCATAAAAGGAACTAGCAAGGAAATTAGAGCCTATGGGCAGAAGTTTGATATGAAGAGGATGAGGAGAAATACATGCAAATATGCTGCCAAACTTACCAACCGTTGAATTAGTTTTGGATTTAGTTCTGAGAATTACGATGAGTAAAAATTTCATCCATTTAAGTGACAGATCTACTTGCAAGTTAGACGTGTACACCATTTGGAGAATCGTAAGAATACTAAAGAATTCTGTATAAAAACCTAACATTTCCCACTCAAGCTCCATGTAAGTAACTACTGCTATTCTTTCAGAATCAAATAATGTAGTTAAAAATTGCATGTACAGTGTTTAATATTAAAGAATTAACAAAAGTTGTGTCTGAGCAGGTTCCAATCAATGTGTTAATTCATAACTTACTGATAGTATTAAGTAATTTAATGGATACCATAGAGTTTAACTAAAGTACAGTTACCAGCTCATATTGAATAATTTAATAGTTTTAACAATGAAATGTTTCAAGGTACCTTTAGTAATCTTGATGTAGCTGAGTATCTTAATAATTTCATTAAAGTGTTGTTTGTGTTTTGAACCCGTCATCAATTCTTTATTCTAACTGTAAACTTCCTCGAGTTAGTGACATGTATACTCTACTCACAACAGTAATCTTGGATTTAAATAAATCTATTGTAAACTGGATTTAAGCTCCAAACGACTAGTCCACATGGTGGTCCACGTTTTTACAAACAATCAGTAAAGTTAGTCTGGATTGGTGGAACCATAAAGAGCAGTCAATTTCAGTTGTTGGATATAAACAATCACTAAAATCAATTTTGATTGAAGGAAGTAATGAGGCATGCCAATTTCAGTTGGTTTCTTAGGGACTAGCTACATCAAATTTAGATCAAAAATTGCAGAAAAGCAGAGTATTAATGGAGATCTTAATTTTTTTTTTTTATTGTTAGTGGGCAGAATATTGAACATGGTAATTGTTAGTTATGTTTTGCAATTTGATATAATAAAAAACTTAAAATTTCTTTACTTAAAGACAACAAACAAAACATATATTAACCTTCTATACAAGAGCTCAGTAATTTTGACTGATCTTGTATCCATGAAACTATACATTCTGTAGCTCTGTTATATCTTCCAAAATTTAGCAAACTTTTAGTAATCATTACAAGTTTGTTGAACACACGCAAAAATATTTTTTTTTTTTATTTAAGTATTTTCTAAAGATTTGCCTGTGAAATTATGAAGCCTCTACTGAGTCAGTCCAAGTACAAGGTGATTTTCATGTTAAAATTAAATATACTGTTTTTCATCTTACAGTTTTCAAATTTTCATTGCACAGCCTCTAGAATCTTCTAAATGAATACCAATCGTTTTAGTAAAACTTTATATTTTATCTGCCACCTATTTATCCTTTACCCTAAAAATAACTGTAGCAAAATCACTACTGTAATGAAAATCAAAAAGTTGCAAATATGAAATAAATTTAAATTTCCCTATTATTTTCTAGAATGGCTATAAACTGTAACAGACAATTATACTGTTTATTTCACAGTCAAATCTGAGTTCATTTAATTTTATTGCTTTATAGTTGCACTTAAAGAGTCCAATCTCTCAGTGTATGGTAAAAGACATTCATCACAGCTGGACAGCTTTGTGTTAAAAAAAGAAAAAAGGATCAAGTTATGAACAAGCATATTGAATTACAATATTTTATGGGATTTTATCATGAGTAATTTTGCTTAATTAATTTATGTTTCCTTATCTAACCTAACATGTTTGATATTTTTACATATTAGTTACTTTTGTAAAAATAAATAAAAGATATTCATAAAAAAAACAACAAGAAATTTAGAATTTGCATCCCAAGCCTTGTCTTTTGCATATTTTTGTAATCATGAGAACTATGTCCCCAAAGCACACTAACTCAACTTTTTTAGTATTGATAATATTGTCTCACAACTAATTTTTTATAATATTCAAATATGCAATTTAGAATATACAACACTGTCTCATGCACAAATAAAAGAAATGAATGTCCTAAAACTACTACAATTTAACTGGGTCTACTAAGTTATAAATATGTTAAAATCATTTCAACAGCTGGTTGAGTTTAGTTCCAATGATGGCGATGAATGAAACAGAGACTGAATTTTTCAAAACCTGTCATCTGAATGACTCATAGAAATTTAGTAGATTAAAATATTCTCTTTCTATTTCTTATAACTAAACCAACAGAAAGTGTTAGAGAATTATTGACATTTTTTGAATGACAGGATGTGACATGTGGGTTTCACTTTACTGTGTATCTCGGTAAAAGAAGAAGCTTAGAGGCTAAAAATTTACATTTTGGTTTGGAAATATCTATAGTATGAGTGCATAATTCGTGGGAAACATAGAAGACCATATAGGGGTAGAAGAAGAATCTAAGATAGGCAATTCGGAGTGAAGAAGTGTTACGTGATACAGAGAAATGAAGATTGACAAGTTAAACATTTCCTTTCGAAATTAAATCTTTATAATAATAATAAAATATGAATTTACACTACATTTTTATACCAAGTATAATGACATCTGCTGATAATAAAGTTGTTTAATTGAATTTTGAATGTATCTCTGTAAAAAAAAGTAATGATGTGCACACTTGTTGGTCAAAATTACAGTCCATAGACAGAGAGTTAATTAGCAAACACTTGCAGGCACATGTTAATTGACAGAATAGGGCTACTTTGAATAAATGCTAGTTATAAGATTGTAAAGTATGAGTCAAGCCATCAGCAATCAATATATTACAGATAAAGTTAGGATTACAGTTTTTTTTGTGTGTATTAAACTTACTAACTATTATAGTTAGTTCAATTTCATTATTGCACATGTAATTCAGCCTAAATTGTATAATGTTTGCATCTTGAGTACTTTCTCACTGCCTTTTTAATGGTTTACTAACTGCAAAATAAAATTTAGTTTCAATTCATTTTTACTAGAGATCATGAGCAACTCAATATATTTGTTTGTTATTAAGCATAAAGCTACACAAAGGACTATCTGTGCACTGCCCACCATTGGTATTTAAATCTGGTTTCTAGCAGTGCAAGTCCGCAGACATGCCAATGTGGGGCAACCCTATATATTATATAATATTTAATGGGTGATGCTAATTAGAAGAGGATTAACTCTCTCACTAGAGCTCAGCTAAATCGGCTGAGTTTGGGACCCCAAATTGACCTTTACTGTTTCCACACTATAACTTCTAATATGTTTTGTGTATTGTCATGAAATTTTGCACGCTTTCAGTAATCATTAAGTCATCTGTAGACAAAGAAATTTCTCCATGAATATATGGAGTTAAAGTGTTGACTGCTCCAAGTACAAGTGGTTTTCTTGTTAAGATTAAAATTGCTTTTCTTCATCTGAAAAATCTCTAATTATATTTGCATAATCTCTAATATCTCCTAAATAAAGTTCAAACTTTTTTTCAGTAAAACTTTATATTTTAACATATTTTCTCTATCCTAACTCTATACAAGGTTGGTCAATTTGACAGACTTTGCAACCACACATACACACACACAAATCTAAATTCCCCCTTTTTTTTTTATTCTACATTTACTTTAAATTGTAACTTGAAACTATATTTGTCTATCCTAAGTAGCTCTTTACTAATAAATAACTAAGTTAAGCTTTGTAAAAATTGGGTCTTCAGGCAACTAAATGTCACCTGAATACAAACATTTAACTGAACAAGGGGCAAAAGTAAATAAAAACCATGTTTATTGGCATTAGAAAAAACTTAAATTTACAGTATGTGCATGTAGTTAAACAGCAGCAGTTTTGGTAGCATTCACAGATGGATAATTGAGTGAAATATGTCGTACGTTTTCTTATACTGTTATCAACAGTTTACTCTTAGATTAAATTATACTTTACAGCTTACAATTCGAGGGGCAGTGGTATCACCAAGTACTGTTGCTTCAACAGATTTACAATTATCAAACTCTCATTATCAAATTCTTAAGCTTAGAAGTATAATTTCAATTTCAATGAATGCTTCAAGATTTAAGTTACTCTTACATTTTTTACAGACAGTTAGGCATTCTTCACACTCCCAGTATGATTTCTGAGACATAGGTTTTCTACAAAGAACATGGCAACCTCGTGATCCACATGACCTACAAACTTGGATTTCCCATTCACTAAGAACAAAGAGACATTTTTCAAAACCTTTAATTTAAAACAAAACTGCTTTTAACACTAAGCAAATTAGTTACAATGTTCAGAGATAAAAATAAAATTTCTATTTGATAAAGCAATTATCTTGCAAGTAATAATTCCTAACCTATTTAGTTGCTTTCATTATTGTAACAACAAATAAGCTATATTCTCTTCAGTAACATGTCACTAACAGAATACAAACTTATATTGGATACTTTTGAAAAGGACTAGAAAAAAAGAAAGAAAAAGACATTACGGTTGTTCATTCAGTGATGTTTGATAAAAGCAAAAACTGGATTTAATAAAATAAGTAAATTTGGAAATAAAAAATTAACTTGCAAATAAAATTCCTATCCAATTTAGTTGCTTTCATTATTGTAAAAAAACATAAGCTGTAATAAAAAGAACTATCTGCAATAGTTATTTCTGATTTTGAATTGACAAGTCACAGGGAAAGTAACTAATCAGCAGCACCAATCACCAGCTCTTGTTGGATTGAATAGTGAAATTTAATGATCACTCATATAGTATACCCATGGCCCCAAAAGTGGGGAGTGAGGTTTTGGGGAAACAAGGCTCCAACAATGAATCCTTGAATTCACAGTCTAAAAGTACATTACCAACAGTCTCACCCAGCCCACACAATATATGATGGTACTTCAGAATGTAAAGGCAACTCATAAATAAAACAAGTGGGTAACCAGGTATCAGAAACTCGTCATCTGGTAACATTGTAAAGTTCGGGTACATGTGTACAAATAATTCTATTTATGGAAAAAAAACAACAAATTTCATTCAGAAATTTAACTTTTCAGAAAGTGGTGGTTGAAAATTGGGGCTTATTTATATCTCTTACGTATAATTATTAAACTTACAAGTTCTATACAAAGCATATATTTATTTCAACAAAATGTCATTGACAAAAGAATACAAGCACACACTTTTTACCTGCCCTTTAAGCTGAAATTTTTTCCTTTTGGACATATACACTGTGGTGCATCACAATGGCAATACCTTACCAAGAGATCTTGGAAGGCATTTTGTTCTAGTTCCCATGATGCATCCCTAATGGTGGATAATGAAATACTATTTTGATTTTTGGTACCAATAATTGATAAATCTAACTTAAATTCTAAAAAAAAGAAAAAGAAATAAGCAATGTCTTCATAAAAACAAAATCAAAATCAATTCTTTACTAATTGACTTTTTTTTATAATTAATTTCCATCACATAGATTATCCAAAAGAAACTACAGAATGAAAAAAATTACCCATCAGTAACTTAACATCTCTTAAAGCAAAACTCAACCCAAAATTAGATATAATCAGCAATAATTTATATTGTCTGACTGTTGTATGAACAAGATATGATTATATATCCAAAATAAAAAAATAAATTAGCTTGAATAACTTAATAAAACCATGACAGTGACTAGATGAAAATTAGAGTTTTGGGATACATTAGCCACTATAGGTCAAAAAGTTACATAACAGATTTGTAAGTGACTAACTGGATATTTGTTGTCATGGTTAGTAGCATATATTATCTAAGGTTAATTATTAATTGTTTTAATTATATACTAATTAAAAGCTAGTTTTTATCCTAAGTTTTGAGTGCTAATCTGCTGCTGTCTTCAAGAAAGTTCTAAGAAGGAATATTTAGTGTACTGGTTTGGATTCAATCCTTGGTCTTTTTTTATGGAAGTCTTGTGCATTATCGATTTGACTAGGGTCTCGTCATTAGAACTTCAGTTGACTAACTATTTGAATGTTTTAAAAAGCAGTATTCACTTTGTGATTTCTATGCTAGGTTGACTGAATTATTATCAGTTAGGTGGATGTAGAGACTTCTTTTATCTTTCATCACGTGTGGTTCATATCCTATTATTACAGTTTATCATATGATCTTCTTCTTCTTTAGCATGATGGACTATTGCAGATAGGTGGAATAACAAGAAAATAATAGTGTGAATCAAGCATGAGAAGAAGCCTCCTACAACCACCTAACTCATAACACATCCAAGTAGATATCAAAAGACCTAGAAGCAAGTGCTTTGAACAGTTGACTAGTCTGATTTGGTAGTAAAAAAAAGGATAAAAATTAAAGAATGTAGTGTAGTACACATGAAGAAGAAGTACACCTCACATGAGCAGGAAGTGTTTGTCCATGTGGTTGTGAAAGCTAACCAATTCCAACTGAAAAGGGTATGTCATTGGGAAATGGAAACTTCATAGGCAAGTATTTAGCTACAAGGTTATAAAAACTTGGAAGAATAGAATCAC